ACTGTCTTCGAATAATTTTATATTATTGCTACCATTTGGTGATACATATTATGCACACATATTTCAAAGGTTTGATAAATTTCATGTTTGATTCACCAAATCAATCTTAAAATTTTTTCCTGTGCGGGATCATTACTCACTCATACGTGTGTGCTTGACTGCATTGGTATTCGTGTTCGCAGTGCAGACGATTTCATGATTTTTGCAGCTGTCCCTAAACGAGGATCACTGGGCTACGCAGGAATTACGACAGCGACAGAAGGTAGTGATCAGAAGAGATCTTCGAGGAGCAGGAGCAGGAGCAGGAGCAGGTAAGAACCACTGAGCGGGCATTATATCGCAGGTAGATTTCTATGTCAGCTGCACTATTCCAACCCCTAAGCACCATGTAGTGCACCGATGCAGGGCTGTACATGAGCTGCAGTTGCATTTGCAGCTGGCGCAAGGTGATTTTCCCACTAAAGACATCCGTCTCGACACAGATGCGGTCAAAATAATGGAAATTCACAACCAGCTTCGTGAAACTGTACATGATTTTTGGTAAGATGTTTTTAAGAACACCTCTCTGAAGTTGAGGATGTGATGTATCCTAAATACCTGTACAAAAATGGATCCATCCTAAAGTTTCTGAAACTATGAATCAAGAATATAGAATTGGAAATGGATATAATATTTTGACCGCAGCTGTACCGTACTTTTGGGCACTTTCCTCTGGGCTCCCGATTGAATTTTTCGTAATGTAACGCTCATTTTGAAACGCAACGTCTGTTTCCATTTCTTCTGCTTCTTCTTCCTATTTGCCCAAAGCAGCCGATTAATACGACTGAAAAAATCGCGAATGGAACCGAGAGAGGTAACAGAACGAAAACGTCTTCTTTTTCTTTCTTCTCCGTCCGTCCCTTTTCAACGTTTTCGCATCTGTTTCTCATAAATGTAGATGTGAAGATTTAAATGAGGAAATATACTGGTACCGTGTCAGAAATCTGATCGTAAAGTGCTCAATTTTGGGGGTGGCGATATTATAATAATGTTTAATAACTATGGAAAACTGTAGTTTCAATTCTGGTTCGTTCTGATTAATGCACTTATGTATATATGTATATGCATGTATTTACATATATGTATGTACGCATATGTTTATATATATTATAGAAATAATCAATAAAAGTAATCTCTTATAAAGTCGGCACTTTGTATACTCGGTATACTATACATATGTAACTTTTTCACAAAATCACACTTAAGTTTCATAATAAATTGAAATTATGATTCAACATAAAACCTACTGGTAATGTTTCATTATTTAATTTTAATCAGATCATATTGCTTCCCTTCCGGTTTTTCTGTGGAGCCGCCCCTTAGACCCACTGTGCCGCCGAGCTCCACCAAGAAAACGTTACATTTTCAATTTTGAATTCGAAAATAAGCGCTAAACTGGTGCTGCGACTGAAACAAAGTCGGATGAGTTCTTCTCCGAAAGCTGTTGTGGCTTTTCTGCGACCCGAGACGTTCGACGAAATTTCAGCACAAATTTTTGTTGTTGCCAAGCCGCTGGCGGCGGCATGAAATCTAGATTTCTCTCTCGCCAAAGTGGTTAACTGAATGCGTCATCATCGGCTGCGTCATCAATCCAGGATGACGATTCCGACTGCGATTGCCCTTCCTGATTCCCCATCGTCACAGGGAACGACATTCCCCCGAAACAGACAGACACACAAACAACACGACGCACACCTTTCGCCTGGTCAGTAAATACATACATGTGTATGTATGTTTGTATAACTTGTATCTGACGGGTTGATGGAGTTTTATATGCGCTCGGTGCAAAGTTTCAGATTCGCACGAAATTATGGTAGGTGAAGTTCTCGAAGTGAAATGGCGATTGGATGGGAAATGCACGATGCAAGGCCATGCAATGACTGCGGGAAAAGTGAATGTAGATTAAACCGATGAGCATGATAAGCGATTACACTTGCATGCGAAAGTCAGTTGGTGACAAAATATAGGTATTATTTTGAATATTTAGTATTACACGGCAAGCTTTTTCAACTGTTTTTGTCGGATTTTCGTAGTATAACGTGAAATAAAGCAAGTTGAATCCCAATATTTCACCAGAAGCGAAGCACTATGCTAAGCCGTAATAGATTCGTTAATTGAAAGTCGATTTATACTCTTAATAAATCATTTAAAATGAGTTATACATGGTTAATATAACTTACAGATTGCAAACAAATGTAAAAACAACTTACTTATAAGGAAAAATAATTACAATAAAATATAAAAAATATAATTGGTTTAGTGTCTTGAGAAATATATGAATATTTTTATTCTTATCTTTGAATTTTGTTTCCTTTCATCGATTATAATATATGTATGTACATATGTATATAAGTTTATTTTATAAACAATTATGGAAACCTTATCTATTTACATGAAATCATACAGGAAGTATGCTAAGCTGATTATAACAGTTAAAACTATATTTACAGGTCTACTTAAAAGTGTTCAGGGTACGGAAGTTATACAAAGCTCTATGGTGTTTTGATCTCTGTGAAATGTTGTTGGATCGGTGTAAATTTTAACGGTAAATCGAACTCAAGCATCGCAGAAGATACACTCTCACTCTTTCAAGCGTGCAGTAAACACACAACAACAGGTTGTCGGCGGCGGCATCGGCTGTTTTGGAGAAAGTGCTTATTGCCAACAATAATAACATCAGGTGCAATGACCACATATACTACACCTAGGCGGTGGTTGGTTAAATAAAAAGAGAAATATACATACATATACATATACAAATTTCCATGGAAACGCGATGCTCTAAAAGCGGCGAAACTTTTAAGGGAACTTGATCTGATTTAAACTTACGCTATAAGTGTGGATTTTCTGACAAAACAGATTTACTGTGAACTAACTAACAAATAACTAAAGCTTGTTCAACATTATACAAGCTGCTTACTGGTAATAATAACCATTAAAACTTTCTTTTCATTACAAAGAGAAAGATTCCCCGATGTCATTGAACTTTTGTCAAAAATACTATAGGGTTTTTCGAGTTAATAAGCTAGATTTTTAGATCATTTTCAATATTTTCGGAATGATGTGGATTGGTAAAAAACCATTTTCAGTTTGAAGGACATTTTCTCAATAGCCACGATCACTTTCTTGGTAGCATACACACATACATTTATGCGTAGGTGGTGAAAATTACTGCCCTTTTGCCAGGTCTCGATTCTCATCCCAGATGCATTTCCCAGATGCCAGCATCCTGAGGATTCCGGGCATTGTTCAAAACATTTGTAATGAAGAAGACACAATACCCGGCCAAGAAATGGTATTGACGTTCCCGCACAGCACACATATGTATGGCTTGGAAGTAACAATTATTACCAGTCACGGCGTGGGAACCGGCTCAGAGATGTCCCGGGATTTATGTAGAATATTTTTGCAGTTCCTGTGGGTACTCAGAGTGAGGGATAGGTACTGGTAATTTGTGGCAGCATGTTTATAATACGGGTAGCACTTCCCAGGTGAAAATTCTTGATACCTTTGCACACATCATGGCGAGTTAAAGTGCGTCGCCAACAGTAGTGGCCGGTCACCCCGTCCCTTACACGGATCTCAGGCAAACAATTAGTCCGTCATGGAAAAGGTTGGAAAATGAATTTTTCAAGAAAAAATTAACCCCTTATGATGCTCATCTCGGACACAAAGGAAAAAAGAAAGGTACAGGCTGCGGAATACCATTAACCCTGTCAACCCCTAAATGACAATTGCCTTCAGCTATCAAAAGGATATTTTTCAATAAAATATTAACCAAAATATGTAGTTTCATCAAGGAAGCCTAAGTACACTTTCTGAAGAAAGCGCTAATGTGATTCACTGGACTTTGGATAGGGTATACAAATTTTGCTTCTTTACAAAAGCAAAGAAAACAAAAAAAAGTTAAAGCCGATCCACATTTATGACTGGAAAATATCCCTAATCGCATCTTCATGGGGTGGGTTTTGTCCCCGAATTTTTCATCAAGTTTTCCCACTTTTCACGTTAGATCTAAACGAACTTTGGCCCTTTTCTCCAATTTTGTAATTGCGCCATTTATTTGTCTATTGTCCTTTCCGGCGACCCTGTTTCACCCGGAAGAAGCCCGGCCTCCATTGTTCTTTTGTGACACTAAACTAGCTGGAAACCTCTTTTTGTTCATTGTATATTGTCATCATTGTTACACTTTCGAGGAAAGCGTATAAAAAAATCTTGTAACTTTGGGAAGAAAAAAAATGCGCATTAAACGATGATATAATCATTCCATCAGAGATCCCTGAAAACTTATTTTTATTTACATATTTAAGGTTTTTTATGTGTTGATTTTAATTAAATTTGCCTAAAAGTTGGCCACGCTTGGCTTTGATTGCGACTTATAGCCATCTTTCGAGATTTTGAGTCTTGGCGCAGCCGCAGCTAATCCCAAAAACAAGTTCGCGATCCAAGAGATGCTCGGTCCACAGCAACAGCATCCCTCAATGAAACTCTATGCTTCTACGCACTAAGAATGTCCTGCAGCCGAACGATAAAAAGAGTCCTGTGCACCACCTGCTTCCTGTGACTGACGCTGAGATTTCGAGCCTGAGATATCCTTGCAGCTGAACATATGTATGCGCCTACGCTTCTCTCTGGGGTAGGTTCTCCTATTGTGTGTGGTACAGGCTCAGATCCCTACAGTTTTGGGAGTTCAAAATGTGTTTTTTGTGTCCTTAAAAAATGGAATCAACAACTGTACCACGCACAGGCCACACCGAGAGTAAAGTGAGTCCATTATACAGCAAGAAAGGGAATCTTTGGGTCAACCTATTAAATCCATTTAAATGTAGTATCAATTAAAACACCAGCCTCATCAGTATACATGAGTTTTAATATAATTTCAATAATATATATAATATTGTATACGCTTATTTACACATTTATAAATATATATATATATTTGTATATGTAGTTATTGAAAGACATGTACTATTGTTTAACAAATGCCGTGTGTGCATAACGTTTAATAAATATATTTGTACGTTTTTGCAAAGTAAATATGTTTTTTTTTTTTGTATATATGCAATACGATTTTTTGCAGTATTGTTTTGGAATAACACTCAGTAGACAGCGATACTATGTTTTGTGGTAAAGGTACACCGTTATAATAGTTACCAAGATTTTCCTCGATCATAAGTGTAAGCCATATGTCTCGTTCAACGTTGGGTTTCTTAGGAATGCAAAGAATTAGAAGATTAGATACATACATTTGTTGCAGGTATTCAAACCGCAGCCTATAATAATTTCTGAATTAGCAGAACAGAAACTTTTAATGAAATTGGATAATTTCTTATAGTGAGACATTGAGATATTAGTTATAAGTGTGAATTTGTACCTCATTATTGTTATTTCTTGATGTTTTACAAAATATCAAACAGAACTTTGTTCCAAACAAAAAAATACAATATAATTAAAATTTAGCTATTTACATTCAAGATTTTGATTAAATAGATTTTGATGTATTCCAAACAAACTGTATTTATCAATATTTGTTTCAGATTAAATTTCTGATCAGAGCCTGGTAACTAAATAAACTTTTTCCGAAAAGATTTTCAAATAAATAAATCAAGGCTACAGAATTCATTTCGATAGAATTGACTTAGGAATATCCAGAAGCTTCGTTTTCGCTCTCCTCCACAATGGACTTCTTGTCGTCCGCCTTGCTCCGGCCTGTAAATCTCTCAAAGATGCTGTGCTTGCCGCCACTTTTGACCTTGCCTTGACCCGATCCCTTGAAGGATCCCCACGGCACCTTGCCGGCCTCCGAAGTGGTCATGAGGATAGAGTACGAAGAGCACATCTCTCCCTCCTTGCTGTTCCGGATGCCATAGAGGAAGTACACCACCATGCCGATGCACACCCAGACAAAGAATCTTACCCAGGTGACGGCATCCAGGTGGACCATCAGGAGGATGTTGCAGAAGATTCCAAGGGCCGGTACAAAGGGAACCAGAGGCACCTTAAAGACTAGACCCCTGGTGTTCTGGTTGTGCACCGCCATCACGGCCACACAGGTGCTGGCGGCGAAGATGATGAAGCCGTAGATGATCAGGGCCCACCAGGTGCCAGTATACAGCTGCGTCCATGACACCTTCAGCTCCACACAGATGGCGAAGCTCAGGAGGATGAAGAGGATCACGGCCACAGACACCACGGATCCCGGTTCGAAGCGACCCAGCAGTGGCTCCAGGCACCGGAATTGGCTCTTCAGCCTGCCGGCTAGCACCTCCTCGATCATCTCGCTGGTGGGCGATGACGTATCCATGCTGGACTGCGAAGCCACCTCCTCGTCATCGTCGTCGTCGTCGTCGGGACTGCTCGGCAAAGCTGGCACCCGAATGGTTGTGTGGATCCGCTCCATGGGCCGGTACCGCAGGATGATCACACTGGCCGAGACAATGGTGTAGGCCAGCAAGGTTCCAATTGACATGAACTCCACCAGCTTGGCCAGGTCGAAGACCAGGGCGAGGCAGGCGCTCAGGACCCCGGAGACCACCAAATTAAGCAGCGGAACCTGGTAATCGAAAGGACCTTTGAATATTTATGTTTCCTTTGCCGTAATTTGCTTTCTTACCTGGGTGGTGGAGTTAACCTTGCCGAAGCAGCTGAAGAGCAGTCCATCGGAGGCCATGGCGTACATGCAGCGTGGCAGGGCAAACAGGGAGCCCAGCAGAGTGGTGGTCATCCCACACAACGCTCCAATGGAGATCAAGTACTTGGCCCAGGAGAGATTCAGCTGACCAAAGGCCTCCGGCAGCGAGGCGGCCGGATTGATCTCACTGATGGGGATCATGAGGGTGAGGGCGGCGCTCACGAGGATGTAGCCCACGGTAACCACGAACAGTGAGAGCACAGTGGCAATGGGTATGGAGACGGAGGGGTTCTTGGCCTCCTCCCCGGAGGTGGCAATGGAATCGAATCCCACGAAGGCGTAGAAGCAGGTGGCTGCTCCCGCGATGACTCCACCGATGCCGTAGGGCAGGAAGCCGCCCTCCGCCTCCGACCAGTTATTGGTGTCCGCATACCAAAAGCCCACGCTGATGACCAGCACCATGACGGCTATGTTAACCAGGGTTAGTAGGCTGTTAAACACTGCCGTGGCCTTGACTCCTCCGGCCAGGGCTGCCGCGTAGACGATGCAAACTAGGAAGGCCAGGATATCCGGATATTGAGCTAGTCCTGGCTCATGGATGCCTCCTGTTAGAGCCAGCGTTGTGTTGCCAATCCAACCGCCCAGCATAGAGTCGACGTAGCCACTCCAGGCCCGGGCCACCGAGGCAGCGCCGAGCATGTGCTCCAGAAGGATGTTCCAGCCGATGACAAAGGCCCAGAACTCGCCCATCGAGATGTACGTGTACACATAGGCGGATCCCGCCTTGGGCACTCGTGTCCCAAACTCCGCATAGCAGAGAGCAGCTAGCATAGAGATGAAGCCAGCCAGGACGAAGGACAGGATGATGCCGGGTCCAGCCATCTCCTTCGCCACGGTGCCGGTCAGCACGTAGATGCCAGCGCCAACCATATGGCCAATGCCTGGGGGAAAAATACGGTGTACATAAGTGTCGTGTAAGAGTGTATATATATAAATGTATATCTAGGGGTGGTTCCCTAATCTCTGGGGGCTCAAAGGCAAGCATAGGGACTGTACGGCATTTAATTACAATCTGGTTTCGAGTCAAAGATAAGGCAAGATTCTCAGATATTTGAAGGAAGGGGATTCGTTTTCCCCTAACAAGGAGTTCCCTAGGGATCAGTTGCTCAAATAATATATTAATTTGTTTTAGCTATGATTTGTTGAAGGGAGAAACAGACAAGTGTAATGCTAGACTTTTCTTGATTACTCTATTATTACATGCTCTTATTCCTTAACTTCCTTGCATTGTCCCATTTCTGTACTTTCCCTATATTTTAAATATTTTATTTTTATAATAAATATTAAAGCTGGCAAAAGCCTTACCCAAAGGTCAATTCTAACAGATGTTATTATGATCATAGCATGGAACCATCAATGTCTATTATATTTATAGAATTGCTTAAACCCCAATTCGAATTTGATAAGCCTTACTCTATAAGGAATACATGTTCCTATCACTTAATATCCCTTCCTTGTCTCATTAAATTATATTCAAGCTAAAAAGTAAATATATAGGTTACTCTGGCAGTGAGCTCTTCCTAATTACATATTTTTTTAAGCTGACAGATGTAAAGATTATCCTCTTAGATCTATGCCATGTCATACTCCTAAATACCCTAGAATATATTCAAAAATCAGCAAGGACTCAGGAAATATGCCGGCACTCAAATTGATTTATCTCAAGTACCCAGTAAGGCGATGTCGAAGGTGTTGAGGCATCGGTTGAGCGGCGTCTCCATGACGTCAGTGGGCACCGACTTGGTTCGATTCATTTTGGTGCACAGACCCGACAATATGTGCTTCAGAATGGCACGTCTTGAGCTCGGCATCCTGGCTAATTCGATTGAAACCAACTCTGGAGGAAGTTAGGCCGCACAGGCAACGCGATTTGAGATCGAATATAATTATTATACAATTATTTTTTCAATTTTTTGCGGCACTTTTGGGACACTTTCACTTGTTGTACACAAACAGCTGTGACTGTATCGATTTTTGCATTACTCTCGAAAGCTCCACAGGGCTCCATAGCTTGCAGAATGTTTGCACTCCGGAAAGGAGGCAGGGCAGCTTTTAACCAGTGAGCTTTTATTTTTGTTTTGAAATAGGATATATATAACATATATAACCTATAATATTTGCAACATTTTGGTGTGATAAGAGGTAGGAAAATTCGACTTTCTTATGGGCAAACCAGCTTGGAAGCCAACCTTGAAAAGCCGAAGGTTCCAGTGTACAGCATAATCTTTTGTTCGAATTAAAATTACCCACAACTTAGCCTAAGATAACTAAAAAAGCGTTTTAAAAATTCTCTTATCCTTTAGTAACCATTTGCCAGAATATGTCCTTCAAAATAAAGCCCTTAAATATACCAAGTATATTTTGGTTTAATAGGATCTTTAACAAAGCTAACGAACTTATGGCCAAAACAATAGCATACTTACATAACTAAGAACCAAGGGCTATTGCTCCAAAACCGGAAATTAAATTTCCAAAGCCATTTCTTTAATCGAAATGCCACTTGAATTGATCAAGATTTATAGATTTTCGTTCGGAAGAATTGCTTTTTTTAATATCTTCACACATCTCTCAACTCGACGAAGCGAACTTGACATTAATGAATTTTTAATAGAAATCTTTCAAATTCGATTTTGGTATTGCTCTGCATGATTTTCAAACATTTTCAAATATTAAATAATCGGAAATGCTTGCTGTGTTGGAAATAAACCATGGCCTTTGGATAGTATTGTATTTGTATAGTAATTGTATTTGCCGTATTAAAATTTAATATATTGACGGACGTACCTCGACGTCAAAAGTCTGAGGCATCAAAAGATATAATTATTTACTTCTTTATTAATACTGTTCACCTTAAAGGTGTGTCCGAACTCTTAAAGCTTCTTAAAGAACGGGTGATCTTAGCTTTTGATTAATTTTATTACAAACTACATAAGCATGATGTCTACGCTGCCAATGTCGATTCGCAATTCCGAGATAATCTCCGTAATAGATATTGTGTCACACACCCTTGATGAGCCCAGAGTTAAATGTTTTATAGTCTCTCTTAAGTCATAAGTCCGCATGTTTATGAAAATGTTTATTAGGCATTGTACAAGCCTAATCAATTGAAATTTAATGCAATGTTTTAAGGCAAGTATCTGGTAAAATTTAAGCTAAATAAAAAGGCTGCTGTAGTCGATTCGTAGATTCCCTTTAGTAAGTCCTTGTAAGTTTAAATCTAAGTTTAGATCATTTTACAATCAATGGGAATACAAATATTTTCCTATTTTGCTTTGATTCGATATTTATTGCTATAATTCTATACCTCTTTCCAGGGTCTTATAATTTTAGTTTAAAACTGACAACAGCATCGACAAACGCAGTATGCAGATTTGTTAGTGCAATAAAAAGTAACACAGAAAAGCTTTCCGAAATAAAATGAATGCAATTTTGGTCTTAATATGATGTCCGGAAAACTTCGATTTTTCACAAAAATAGTCTGTTTTTATACCTTTTTTGCTGGCCATCATTTAAATCAGAAGATTGTAACACTGTGAATAAGTCATTTCCGACCCTATAAACCATATATATTCTTGATCAGCATCAAAAACTGAATCCATCTAGCCATGTCCGGATGAAAAATAATTTTTTGAAATTTTATCGAAAATTGAAAATTTTATAAGGGGTTACATCATTAAAATTGTCGAAATTTGGCAAAAAATTGAATTTTTTTAATTTGAAAACTGAGTATGCAGATTTGTTAATCAAGTAAAAACTAACATAGAACAGCTTTCCGAATTAAAATTATTGGTTTTTTGGCTTAGTTATGAGTTTTTAAAACTATGATTTTTGGATAAAATTGTCTGTTTTTATACCTTTTTCCAGGGTCTTATAATTTTAGTTTAAAACTGACAACAGCATCGACAAACGCAGTATGCAGATTTGTTAGTGCAATAAAAAGTAAGACAGAAAAGCTTTCCGAAATAAAATGAATGCAATTTTGGCCTAATTATGATGTCCGGAAAACTTCGATTTTTCACAAAAATGGTCTGTTTTTATACCTTTTTTGCTGGCCATCATTTAAATCAGATGATTGTAACACTGTGAAGAAGTCATTTCCGACCCTATAAACCATATATATTCTTGATCAGCATCAAAAACTGAATCCATCTAGCCATGTCCGGATGAAAAATAATTTTTTGAAATTTTATCGAAAATTGAAAATTTTATAAGGGGTTACATCATTAAAATTGTCGAAATTTGACAAAAAATTGAATTTTTTAAATTTGAAAACTGAGTATGCAGATTTGTTAATCAAGTAAAAACTAACATAGAACAGCTTTCCGAATTAAAATTAATGGTTTTTTGGCTTAGTTATGAGTTTGTAAAACTATGATTTTTTTACAAAATTATCTGTTTTTATACCTTTTTCCAGGGTCTTATAATTTTAGTTTAAAACTGACAACAGCATCGACAAACGCAGTATGCAGATTTGTTAGTGCAATAAAAAGTAACACAGAAAAGCTTTCCGAAATAAAATGAATGCAATTTTGGCCTAATTATGATGTCCGGAAAACTTCGATTTTTCACAAAAATGGTCTGTTTTTATACCTTTTTTGCTGGCCATCATTTAAATCAGAAGATTGTAACACTGTGAAGAAGTCATTTCCGACCCTATAAACCATATATATTCTTAATCAGCATCAAAAACTGAATCCATCTAGCCATGTCCGGATGAAAAATAATTTTTTGAAATTTTATCGAAAATTGAAAATTTTATAAGGGGTTACATCATTAAAATTGTCGAAATTTGACAAAAAATTGAATTTTTTAAATTTGAAAACTGAGTATGCAGATTTGTTAATCAAGTAAAAAGTAACATAGAACAGCTTTTCGAATTAAAATTAATGGTTTTTTGGCTTAGTTATGATATTTCAAAACTATCATTTTTGGACAAAATTGTCTGTTTTTATACCTTTTTCCAAGTTCTTATAATTTTAGTTTAAAACTGACAACAGCATCGACAAACGCAGTATGCAGATTTGTTAGTGCAATAAAAAGTAACACAGAAAAGCTTTCCGAAATAAAATGAATGCAATTTTGGCCTAAATATGATGTCCGGAAAACTTCGATTTTTCACAAAAATGGTCTGTTTTTATACCTTTTTTGCTGGCCATCATTTAAATCAGAAGATTGTAACACTGTGAAGAAGTCATTTCCGACCCTATAAACCATATATATTCTTGATCAGCATCAAAAACTGAATCCATCTAGCCATGTCCGGATGAAAAATAATTTTTTGAAATTTTATCGAAAATTGGAAATTTTATAAGGGGTTACATCATTAAAATTGTCGAAATTTGACAAAAAATTGAATTTTTTAAATTTGAAAACTGAGTATGCAGATTTGTTAATCAAGTAAAAACTAACATAGAACAGCTTTCCGATTTAAAATTAATGGTTTTTTGGCTTAGTTATGAGTTTGTAAAACTATGATTTTTTTTACAAAATTATCTGTTTTTATACCTTTTTCCAGGGTCTTATAATTTTAGTTTAAAACTGACAACAGCATCGACAAACGCAGTATGCAGATTTGTTAGTGCAATAAAAAGTAAGACAGAAAAGCTTTCCGAAATAAAATGAATGCAATTTTGGCCTAATTATGATGTCCGGAAAACTTCGATTTTTCACAAAAATGGTCTGTTTTTATACCTTTTTTGCTGGCCATCATTTAAATCAGATGATTGTAACACTGTGAAGAAGTCATTTCCGACCCTATAAACCATATATATTCTTGATCAGCATCAAAAACTGAATCCATCTAGCCACATCCGGATGAAAAATAATTTTTTGAAATTTTATCGAAAATTGAAAATTTTATAAGGGGTTACATCATTAAAATTGTCGAAATTTGGCAAAAAATTCAATTTTTTTAATTTGAAAACTGAGTATGCAGCTTTGTTAATCAACTAAAAACTAACATAGAACAGCTTTCCGAATTAAAATTAATGGTTTTTTGGCTTAGTTATGAGTTTTTAAAACTATGATTTTTGGACAAAATTGTCTGTTTTTATACCTTTTTCCAGGGTCTTATAATTTTAGTTTAAAACTGACAACAGCATCGACAAACGCAGTATGCAGATTTGTTAGTGCAATAAAAAGTAAGACAGAAAAGCTTTCCGAAATAAAATGAATGCAATTTTGGCCTAATTATGATGTCCGGAAAACTTCGATTTTTCACAAAAATGGTCTGTTTTTATACCTTTTTTGCTGGCCATCATTTAAATCAGATGATTGTAACACTGTGAAGAAGTCATTTCCGACCCTATAAACCATATATATTCTTGATCAGCATCAAAAACTGAATCCATCTAGCCATGTCCGGATGAAAAATAATTTTTTGAAATTTTATCGAAAATTGAAAATTTTATAAGGGGTTACATCATTAAAATTGTCGAAATTTGACAAAAAATTGAATTTTTTAAATTTGAAAACTGAGTATGCAGATTTGTTAATCAAGTAAAAACTAACATAGAACAGCTTTCCGAATTAAAATTAATGGTTTTTTGGCTTAGTTATGAGTTTGTAAAACTATGATTTTTTTACAAAATTATCTGTTTTTATACCTTTTTCCAGGGTCTTATAATTTTAGTTTAAAACTGACAACAGCATCGACAAACGCAGTATGCAGATTTGTTAGTGCAATAAAAAGTAACACAGAAAAGCTTTCCGAAATAAAATGAATGCAATTTTGGCCTAATTATGATGTCCGGAAAACTTCGATTTTTCACAAAAATGGTCTGTTTTTATACCTTTTTTGCTGGCCATCATTTAAATCAGAAGATTGTAACACTGTGAAGAAGTCATTTCCGACCCTATAAACCATATATATTCTTAATCAGCATCAAAAACTGAATCCATCTAGCCATGTCCGGATGAAAAATAATTTTTTGAAATTTTATCGAAAATTG